TTTTCCGAGGATGTCCCACGCGAGGGCGCCAGTAGCTTGGAATTCGTCGACGGACTCGCCGGATTTCCCGGACCTCGCCAGAAACGTAACAGGAGGGCCTCTGAGAGCCTCCTTTGGGATGCTCTAGGGAACGGTTTTTTTCAGAGGATGTCCCACGCGAGGGCGCCTTCTCGTGCACCCTGGGGGAGGGCACCCTCAAGGTTCCTCAGCTTGGGCCAGCAGAGGGTCTCATATTCTGGAAAGGTTTTCTTCTGTCCCAGGTACCGACCGTTCTTTGGCCATCTATGAGCTGACGGAATCGCAGACGGGCGAGAATGCGAACCATTCACAAAATCAAAATGGTGCTTCAATGAGGTTTGCTTCTTCGGACCGGGTTGGGAGTCCTTTTGCGGCCCTCCTGGACGCATCTTGGGCCGTCTTCAGGCCATCTTGGGCGTCGTTGCGCCACCCTGGGCCGCCTGGGAGACATTTTGAAGCTCCTTGGCGGCCTTGGTTCTTGCCCAGGTAGTCTTGGTACAGTCGGGGCCCTGAAGAAGGAACCCTTTTCGTCGGGGAGGGGCTCGGTGTTCCTTGATTGCTTCACAGTTTGCCTTGGGTTTTCCTTTGGCTTTCGATGGGAAATCGAAGTTCAACTTCTGGAGAAAAGGGGCCTCGTTCCTTATTTAGGGTTCCTTAGGGCAAGGCCCAGACTGTAGCTCGGGCACGCGGGCCCATAGTTTTCACGAGGGATCGTGGCCCCGCGAGCGTTGGCCCATGTCTCTTCAGGGGGGGATCATGGCCGTGGGAGGGGGGGAGAGATGCACGCAGCATTCCGCGTCTAGAGAGGGTGGTCCCTTGTGAGAGTGCAGAGGTCCTACAGGGCAGCACCTGGCGTTAGAACGCCGTATCTACATGCCAGGGGGCACGGTTGCGGATCTCCCTCGCTTTTCGCGTGTTCTCAATGTTTTGCAGAGTGTCACCAGGAATTGTAATTCGTCATCCGGAGGAGGTTGTGCATGTGGAGGAAGAGAGGAGGTGGAGGAGGAGGAAGAGGAGCCGAGGAGGGAACAGGTGGAGGAGACCAGGAGGAACGGGGAGGGAGAAGGGTTTGAAGGTCTTACTTTTTTTTCTGAAATCTTCATCGGTGCTCGTATGGTCTGCAAGTAGTTTGGAGGTTTCGGGTCCCGCTGCGTGGTGTTCAGTGAAAGCCGATCCCTTAATTATAACTACATGTTGTGACTCCTCGCGCGCTGCGTCTTCCTCGCAGAGAGGATTCGTGGGGGGGCGAAGTTTTGTTCGTGTATGCTCACCTCTTCCTTCCCCCCCCTTCATTCCCCCCACACTGTGCCCCCTTTCACCCTAGACTCCTTGTTTGTACATCAGGTGGCCGCAATGTATTTCTGCCATCGGAGGGCACAACTTATACACTTGTTGCGAGCCCGGTCAGGGGCTACATTCCGATCCAGCGCCCACTGTGAGCCTGGATATTGTATAGGCCAGCCATTGTATCACCCATGTGTTGCCTCCTGAGATCGCTTATACCGTCTGTAACCCACTTCTAAGCCAGGGTGGGCCACATTTGACCCAGCTTGGCATCCACTGATAAGCCCCCATCCCCTCAGCAACCCCCGCGCCCATCCAATGGTGGCCGAAACGGGGCTCCTTTCCTCATTCAGCGCTCCTCGTGGCAGCAGTCCGACTGCAGGCGCACAGTTGGCGCTCTCTCGTGCGGGCCACGGCGTCCGAGAGTCCCCCCCCCTCGCTTTCACCGCGCGCAGCGGTGACTGTCACGCTCCTCATCAACGTCGTGAACGCGGCCGTGACGTTCTACGAGGAGCAGTCCTCTGGGGAAGACCGTCCCTCCGCCGGCGGCGCCCGCCTCGCGAGGGGCAGGCTACGATTTCCGGGGGGGGTAGAATTCATGATGCTTCGCGTGCCCCCATCCGCCCATCAAGACACGATCAGAGGCTTTTGTGATGCCTCTTGGATGCTACCTTGAGTCATGTTCGGTTTGAGGCTGTCGGAGGTGATCCTGGACCATGCTCAGCTATGATGGACCGTCTTGTGGTTGTCTTGTGCCTGCCTTGAGGCCTCTCTGAGGTCTGTCAGAGGCTTTCTGGAGCCATGCTCGACCTCCTGGGAGCATTTTGGGGGTCGGAGGAGGAGGAGGAGGAGGAGGAGAAACAAGAGAGAAGGAGGAGGAGGGGGAAGAAGAGAATGAGGAGGAGGAGGAGACATGTGGCACGAGGAACATGGGGAGGAGGAGGAGGAGGAGGAGCAGGAGGAAGCGAAAGATGATGATGATGATGATGATGATGATGATGAGGAGGAGGAGGAGGAGGAGGAGGAGGAGGAGGAGGAGGAGGAGGAGTGAGGAGTGAGGGGTCAGGAAAGGAAGAGGGAAGGAACGGACATTGAAGGACGACGAAGGCCGTCTTAGGGGCTCTCTGAGGGACCCCTGCGGGGCCTCTTGGGCCACTCTTGGGGCGCTCTCGGGGCTTTCTTGGGGGTCTTGGGGCCTTCTTGGGGCTCCTTCGAGTGGTCTGGGAGGCCTCTTGGGCCCGGTGGCTCAAAAAGGGGGGAGGACACATTCAGGTCTACCCCCTGGGATGCTCTTTGGGCCCTCTTGGGGCGATCTTGGGGCGCTCTTGGTGCGATCTTGGAGCGCTCTTTCGCGTTCTTGAGACCCTGGGGCTCTCTTGGGCCGTCTTGGGCCATGATGAGGCCACAAGAGACCACTGATGTTCCATTCATGTTTGAATGATTTTGGCCGGCTCGGAGGGCACTTGAATCCGTCTTTGGGCCGTCTTGGGGCCTTCTGGATGTGTGTCGGGCTATCTTGAACCATCTTGAGGTATCTTGAGCCATCTTGGAGGCCATGTTGGGCTCTCTGAGGCCCTCTTGGGGACATCTTGTGCCATCGTGGGCGTCTAATTACCCACGCCCCCCCCCCCCAGGCCCAGGGGAGGCGATAGGGAAGGAGTCGGGGAGAGGTAAACGTCTCCCCCGAGCAGGGGAAGGAGTGGTTTGGCAGAGAGGGAAGACACAATCCGTTAAACCACCTACGCCCAGGGGGCTGGTGGGATTAGAGAACGGGACCGGTCCCGCGCCTGGATTCGCCTCGAATATTTGGTCAGCTCCACATTAGTTTCGTGAGCTTGGCCGCTGCGTTCTGCCAGGAGCAGTCCTCTGTGGGAGTCCGTCTCTCCGCTGGCGGCGCCCCCCTCGCGAGGGCCAGGTTGCGATCTGCCGCCGTGGAGGGAGAGTGGTCCTCGTCGCGGATTTTTTCCGCGTGTGGGGTCGGGCGTGTTCGTCGTTTCTCGGCTATGGTACTGACCTGTATGCAGGTTAGGTCAGGCCAGAATTGTCCCACTTCCCTCGGCATCCGCTGATGCCCCCTTTACCCCTTTAGAGAGCCCCTCGCCGATTTTTTAGTACGCGCTTCGTCACTGCACTTTGGGTTTCCTCGGTGCGCGGTGACTTCCCGCGGGTATTCGAAGGGAGCTGCGTTCAGCGTGCCGCACGTTCTCCACGAGTTCCACCTCGCGCGCGGATGTTCGGGATCGGATCTCTTGCGAGGGTTTCTGGCAGACGCGGTTTGCACTGCACAGTTACTGTGTTACAGGACAGACGCTCGATGGTCCTCAGGGCCGTTCCTGCGCTGCTCCTCGCTTCGCTCCCTGTGAAGATGGGGCGTGAATGGGGGACAACGGGGCCTCCTTCCATCCTCGTGCTTTCTCACGGGAGAGCCGTGGTTTCATGGAGGGAGGAGCGAGGTCTCGAGTAGCGGAACGAGGCATCCCAGCGGGCGGGCACACGGTGCAGTCCGTCACGGCGTGGTGCAATACCGCATTGTAGGCGAATGTGGCTTGTGAATCTGCTTGCGCATTTTCATCAGCTCCGTGCAGCCGGCTACCTGCACCTCAGAGGAGGAAAAGGTACCAGTACCGCTACCATTCGCCCTTTCTCTTTCTTGGGGCCTCCTCGGAGTCCCTCGTCGCCACCATTGGATTCGCTTCGAAATTCCCTGGTCAGAGCGCACCCCAGGAGAGGTCTGAGGAGCACAGGTATCGGTTCCTTTTGGTCTCCCCAGCGCCGGACACGAATCGCCGCATGAGCCAGGATCCAGACCACACCGTCCACCTGCCACACCGTTTGCCCAGCCTTGGAGGATCGCCGTGAGTCGCCATGAAGGCAGCGGGTTGGAAACGGGTCCTGAGGGTTTCCGCAGTTTTTTGTTTTCCAGGGGCTTTTATGGGTTTGGGGATGATCAGAAAACGATTCAGCATGAAGAGTTGGTCTTGGGGGACGGCTCCGGGGTCCAGGACCCGTTTCGCTCAGGACCCGATTCTTTCATGTCAAGCAAGAAAGCAGTCCGGACCGAAGCGGGTCACCTCCCCGGGTTTTTTTTCCTCACGAGCAGCCCTTCATCCGGGGTCGTGTCTGCTCGCGGCCCCAGGTCCTGAGGAGAGCCTCAGGGGTTCGCAAACAGCGAAACACATCCAGGACCCCCTAGCTCCAGGACGAGAGGGCACTTTCTCAGTGCTCGTAAGACTGCTCTCCGTGGTGCATTCGATGGAGGTGTCGGTAGTGAAGGATGTGGAGGCGGGTGGTGGCTTCAGATTGGTGTAGTAGGTAGTAGTTCCAGTGTACAGGTTGATTTCCCCCCCTCCTCCTCTTCCTGTGAGGCCTCGAGGACGGGAAGACGGGCGGAGGGAGGCCTCGAGGACGAGAAGGAGGCGCCCCGCTTCTCGACGTCCGGCGGCGTTTGGGTGCGGCGCGCACAAGGGGGTGGAGGGAGGGGGGAGGGCTTCTTAGAAGGAGGCTGCTTCTTAGAAGGCGCCGGCCTTACATCTGTAGATAAGGCCCGCGCCTTCTAAGAAGCAGGGGTGTTTCTAAGAAGCCCTCCCCCCTCCCCCCACCCCCCTCTGCGCGTGGCTGAGTTTGGGTGCAGGCCTCTACGACGCCGTCGGCTGGGGCCTCAAGGCGCTCCTGCTTGGCGGCGTGGCATCCTGGCAGCGGACGGCCAGGGGCAACTCGCGCGTGCGCGTGACCGCTCATGTGCAGACGCGCCACGACCTTGGAGCCGGCTGGGGGCTGAGGTGGCCCAGCGTCTGCTTTTGGCGTTTGGGAGCCGCTTGCGGGCTCCGAGACCACCAGAAAGCGATCAGGAGTGGCCATGTGGAGGTCCAGGGAGGGATTTTGAGTGGATTTGCCATCACAGCGCAGAACCTCCGGCCACCTCCAGCCAGTACCAAGCTGGCTTAGCAAAGACGTTGATTGCGTCGAAGGAGAAAATTCATCCGAGTGAGCTGGCCCGAGCGGTTGCATTTTCTCCCAATTCGCCCGTGGTTGGACAGGGTGTTGTCATCTGGGGCAGATATTCGGCAAGCTACGCTTGGGGGCTACACTGGGGGTCTACACCTGGGGGCTACGCTTGGGGGCTACTCTTGGGGGCTACACAAGGGGCTACGGTAGGTTCGCGTCGTGTCGACCAGCGGCGACCCCAGCGCGGGCGTTCAAGGTTGAACGCCGCCGGCGACCCAGAATCGATCGATGTTGAACGATCGGACGTTGCGGCAGCGGCCGATCGTTCAAGGTTGAACGATCCCCGAGGTGACAGAAACCATCGCTGAGGTCGGCACGACACGAACCTGCCGTAGACTTGGGCGCGACGCTTGGGGGCGTCAATTGGGGGCTACACTTTGGGGCGACACGTGCGCGGCGGAAGAGAAAAAGTGGGTCGACTGCGCGGACACTCGCGCGTCAGCCTCCCGCGTGAGGTCGCGCGCAAGCGCCCTCTTCCTCCTCCTCCTCATCCTCCTCCTCCTCCTCCTCCTCCTCCTCCTCCTCCTCCTCCTCTCCCTCCCCCTCCCCCTCTCCCTCCCCTTCCCCCTCCCCCTCCCCCATCCCCCTCCCCCTCCCCGTTCCTGGCGGGCGGAGCGCGCCGGTGCCGGCGTCGGAGCCGCCGCCACGGGGGCCCCGCGCCGATGCACGAGGCCTCCGGGGGGCCTCCGCTCTGGCAGGGTTTCCCAAGCTGTGCTTGCACTGAGGGTGCCCTAATCTGTGGTCGCAGACACGGGGCCTGTCTGGCGGTCACGCGGCTATGTCGCCGCCGTCGCCGCCCCGTCGCCACCTCGTCGCCGCCCTTAGTCTGGGCCTGTCTGGCGCTCCGGCCGCCATGTCGCCGCCATCGCCGCCACGTCGCCGCCTCGTCGCCGCCCGTCGCCTGGCCGTGGCCTAGCTCTGTATTGCGTTAGTTTGCATTGCGTTGTTTAGCATTTCTTAGCGTTACTTTGCATTGCGTTTGTGCTGCTTTGCATTGCAACGCGTTGATTCGCGTTGCTTGCTTTGCGTTGCTATGTGTTTCTTTACTTTGATTTGCATTGCTTTGTGTTGCGTTGCCTGGCTCTGCATGTTTTGCACCGTGTAGATTCTCCTTTCTAAAAACAGAATAGGATCTCCCCCCCCCCAGCGTTATCACTCCCCCTTTCGGGTATGTATGTAAATCACATATGATTCTGACCACATGTCCATCTTGAATATGAATTTACACTATCCCAGGGGGGCCGGTATCCCCCCCCTGAGGTTCCTTTGTAAGAAACACTATGCGGTGACAATTTTTGTTCTAACATAACACTTGTTCACGAATCCCTTGCAAAAAATGGGACGAAGTGCACACGCGCGCGTCGTCGCGCGCGCATGCCGAAATCCTTCAAAAACCCTCGGTGCCGGAAGGATTTCGCAATCGAGCTCCCAAGAAAAATTCTGATTTGCTAAAAAAGCTGTAGCGCGAGCTCTTGCGAAATCTTAAGAAAACCGTAGGTTTTTCAAGACTTTCACAACATGCTATTAAACGGGCTTCGCGCGCGCTCATGTCGAAATCTGTCGAACGCCCCTGCGCGTGTGCCGTCGCCAGAATCCTCTGCAAAAAACTGGACGAAGTGCAGACGCGCGCGTCGTCGCGCGCGTATGCCGAAAACCTTCAAAACCCATCGGTTTCGGAAGGATTTCAAAATCGTGCGTCCAAGAAACCTACAAAAAGACACAAGGTTTCGCAACACGGATTTTCAACAAAAGCGTGCGCGCGCGATCGTGCGTCGTCGTCGTCGTCGTCGTCGTCGCCGTCCTCCCTCCTCCCGCGTCGTCGTCGTCGTCGTCGCCTACGTCGTCCTCTGTCTTTCCTCGTGTTCGTCGTCGTCGTCCTCTTTGGCGTCGTGGTCGTTTCCGTCGTCGTTCTTGCCGTGGTCGTCCTTCCTCCTCCCTCGTCATCGTCGTCGTCCGTCGTCGGCGTCTTGTCGTCGTCCCTCCTATTTCGTCGCCGTCGTCGTCGTCGCCGTTGTCGTCGTCGTCGTCGGCGCCGCCGTCCTTCCTCCTTCTTCGTCGTTCGCGTCGTCGCCGTCCTCCCTCCTCCCTCGTCGTTGTCGTCGTTGTCGCCGTCGTCGTCCTTCCTTCTCCCTCGTCGTCGTCTTCGTTGGCGACGTCGTCGTCGTCTTCGTCGGCGTCGGCGTCGGCGTCGTTTTCGTCGTCGAAGTCGTCGGAGACGTCGTCGGTGTCGTCTTACTCGCCGTCGTCGTCGGCGTCGTTGACGTCGTCGTCGTCGTCGGTGTCGTCGTCGTCGTCGTCGTCGTCGAAGTCGTTGGAGACGTCGGTGTCGTCGTAGTCGGTGTCGGCGGCGCCGTCGTCGTCGTTGTCGCTGTCGTCGTCGGCGTCGGTGTCGTGGCCAAGTGTCATGTGGTACGTACCGTCACGGTCATGTCTTAAGAGGTCTTGCGACCAAGTTGCGGGTGGGAGGGTGGGATGTTTGCACGAGCAGTGGGGAGGACAGCTTCAAGACGGTCAAAGATTAACTGCACTACGTAGATTGCACCACGTCTCTTCTCCTGTCAAGACAGAAGGAATTCGGATCTACCACGCTCCCCAACGCTTATCGATCCATCATGGGGAAGTGCAATGAACACGCGGTCCTGGCCCATCGTCCCTTTCAAACTTAAATTCAGACCATCCAAGCCAAGCCTGGTTCGACCCCCCAGCCCACCATCCCCGTCAAATGTTACTATGCACGTGCACTCATTGATCAGACACCATGTGCTATTTCAAGAACTCATTCCAAATACATTGACGAAGTTATCGCGAGCGCGTCGTCGCGCGCGCATGCTTGAATTGCTCAAACATAGTGGGTTTCAACAGGATCGCAAACTCGAGTGTCCCGAGTACATGCAGAACACACATGGTTTTGCACAAGGATTCCTCCAACACGAATAATCGGTCAACGCGCGTTCTTGCGAATTATGCAGACAAATTTGTGGATGGGTGGGTCCGGTGTGTGCGCGAGCAGTGGCGTTAAGAAATTCAAGCTCGGCAAGCTGAATGTTCCATTCTTTCAGAGTGTTAGAGTCTACCCCGCCCCGGGATTGACGTGCCGCCTTTTCGTATTGTTTTTTCACATATGAGTTTGCACAGCCGTCCATCCAAACTATGAACTCACACCATCCCAGGCAGTCTGTGCATCGACCCCCCTCTTCCCTTTCAAAGCGGGAATCGTGTAAAGCTCATTCGTTGACCAAGAATCACCTGTTGTCAAGCACCCCTTTTGAAAGCGGGACGAAATGCAATCTTTGCCAAACATCGTCCTATCGAATATGCCTATTGCAAGCCACCGCGGCCCCCTGCCTTCTAAAAACGAGCATGCGGCCCAGCGTTGGGACGAAGCCTGGCCACGCTTTTGGCATATATGTGTGTGCAGCCCAGCCTTATGATGTTCCAACTTATTGTAGGCTTGATCACCAAGAAGACTTTCGAGCACCAGAACAAGTACCGACACTCGAGGGTTTTTACGTGTGGGGCCCTGGGAGGCACTCGCCCGACACTGTTTCGACACTATTTCGACACTTTTCAGGGTGCTCGAAATGATTTCTGGGATGTGGTCCTGGACTACGATGGGAGCAACATAAGCCAAGCCATTCTGGAACCCCTTGGGGGAAAGACATTTCTGGGAGAGGAAGAGAAAGGAGGAGAAGGAGGAGACGGAAGACGAGAAGGAGACGGGAGAAGAGGAAGCCTCTTGAGGCCCTCTTGGGGGTTCCTGGGGGCTTCATACGTGAGCATTTTGAAAGCCTCTCAGGGGCCCCTTGGTGGCCTCCTGGGGGCCTCTTTGGGGGCCTCTGGGATCCTCTAGGGGACCGCTTGGCCTTCGGAGGTCGTCCTGGGGCCCTCTCTGGGCAGTCGTGGATCCGTTTTTGGGTGTTGCGGGCCGTCTTGGAGGTCTCTGGGGCCGTCTCAGGGTCGTCTTGGGGCCTCGTGGGCCGTCTTGGGGCCCTCTTGGGCCGTCTGCGGGCCTCTTGGGGGCATCTTGGGCCGTCTTTGAGCGATCTTGGGGGCCCACGGGGCAGTCTTGGAACGTCGGAGGCCCGAAAAGGCCAGAACCAATTGGAAATCAATGATTACGCTACCGAGGAACCCCACATGCTTATATTATGGCTGGAGTGATGAAATCTGAAGTGAAGCATGTGATAATGATGTAGGTGGCCGTTGCCCCGCCGATACCGCTGTGCCCTGGACGAGCGTCACGGATAGCGGCCGCGGTGAGAGACCACCCCCTGCGCACCCCCTTTATGGTGTCGAGAATATGCCATGCCTGCTGTGCCCTGGACGACCGTCACGGATAGCGGCCGCGGTGAGAGACCACCCCCTGCGCACCCCCTTTGGTGTCGAGAATATGCCATGCTTGTTGTGCCCTGGACGACCGTCACGGATAGCGGCCGGAGTGAGAGACCACCCCCTGCGTGTCGAGAATATGCCATGCCTGCTGTGCCCTGGACGACCGTCACGAGTAGCGGCCGCGGTGAGAGACCACCCCTTGCGCACCCCCTTATGGTGTCGAGAATATGCCATGCCTGCTGTGCTCTGGACGACCGTGCCGGATAGCGGCCGCGGTGAGAGACCACCCCTTGCGCACCTCCTTTATGGTGTCGAGAATATGCCATGCCTGTTGTGCCCTGGACGACCGTCACGGATAGCG